ATTGCTTATAAAAACAGCACAGAAATTTAACAGCAGATATCTCCAAAGTGGCCTTGGTGACTCATTTTAAAAAGGGAAATACCTTATATGTAGTTACTGTAAGCTTGGTCCGAAAACTGATTAATTTTTGATAATCTTTGTTGTGCAAGATCTGCAAACTCAGTAGACTGTGACAGCACCTGCTTTTTTTTCCTCCTCTCCCTTGGTTTTAAACCTTTCTGAAATGCCTGTAAATAGTTTATTCTGAAATTTCAAATTGTGATTCCGTAATTAATTAATTAATTGCTTGGTTTGTTTCCCTTTGAGAATCAGACAGGAGCCGACATCATTCATATGCGGAGAACTTCTAGATGTGTTTATGAGAGATAGAAAAACATATATGTCAATATGGGAAATATAAATAGCTATTTATAGTACGTGCCCTCACTGAACAGTGGCTAACACGTAGCTGCCCTCATTTTCCTCCTGCTCCAGACAAGCAAGGGTGGGTGTCAGGAGGATGGGGCCAGACTCTTTTCAGTGGAGCCCAGTGACAGGACAAGGGGCAATGGGCACAAACTGAAGCATGGGAAGTTCCGTCTGAACCTGAGGGTCCTCTGCAGCCTGCTGTAGGTGACCCTGCTTTGGCAGGGGGGGCGGACTAGGTGATCCACAGAGGTCCCTGCCAACCCCTACCATTCTGTGATTCTGTGATCTAAAGAGGTGACTTGTCTTGCCCTCTCCTTCACAGATCAGCACGAGGGGAGAGCGGTGCATACCGGGGATGTTGGCTCATGTAGTGACTCTTAGAAAGAGAGACCTCAAAATTCATTTGCAGGCATTGCAACTACTAGTTTCCCCCATGATTTTTCTCCCTTCCGTGCCCTTTCCCCCTCGGTTCTCCAGCAGCCGTGTGAAGGGAGCTGTACCAGGCGTTCGGCGAGGACTCCAGGCAATAACTCAGCTCTCCTGCCAAGGGAAAAACTGTAACATTGTATTACTGTTGAAAAGCACACTGCAAGATACAGTTTAATTAGAGTGTGTTTTGCTGCAGTGTAATTAAAATAAGGGTAAAAAGCTTACTCTCAGTGTGCTTTATTATTGTGCTTTTCTGTTTCGGATTCTTATCATTGCCTTAGAGAGAAGGAAATGAGAAGATGGGAGATGATAGCATTCATAGTAACAGTCTGCGGTAAGCATTTTTGGTGAAGGCTGCTTATGAGTTTGACTTGAGGCATTATCGACAGCATCTCACGCTAGGGAAATATAATGCTTCAGCTGTAGCATTGCATGGCACTTCCAGAGGAGCACAGACGGAGTCGAGCTGACTCTATGTCTTTTGAGTGGAATGAAAAGCTTTCCACTAATAAATGCAAATTAATGGGGACTTGAATGTTGAAGGAGCATTATGTTATTTTTTATGTTGAAATAACAAACCAAATCTTCTGAGATTTATAGGAGCAAAGTCAAAACAGTTTCAGATATGTGGTTGTTGGTTAGCTGCATTTTGATTCAGATTTTTGCAACGTTTTGGTATGGCAAGTCAAAATGAAAGAAATCAACTAAGTGTCAAAGATAGTAATTCCATGCTCTCAGAAAGTCTCCTAATTACATCTTTTCACAGAATTCCTTTTTCAAGGTCACTTTTTCATGAGAAAAATATTTTTACTTCTTTCTCTCTCCCTTCCCACCCACATTACAATTTTCCACAGAACAGAAGTTATGGTTCCTGTTGAGGTTTTTCTCTGCGTATGCAGTGCTGAGGAAGATCAGAGGCTTTTATGCCACCTTGTGTACTGATGCTGATACCAATTTCTTACACCTAACTGGTCACACATAAATTTGAGCTTAAGTTTGCAGCAACAGTCACTCAACATTGTACAAGATTGCTTATTTGGAACAGCTGACTCCAGAAAATGCAATGTAGATGGGTTCAGTGGTTTGCCACTCTCAAAAGTGAAAAATGCAGTATTGCTGTTCCTGTCTCTCCCACCCCCCACGTCTGGCTGCTTCGTTTTCCAGCTCAGTTACACTAGTTCCTAAAGCTGTGCTGTAAACCAGACCATTGAAATTTCCACTCTGACTTCAGCAGTGGCAACTTCTCTGCGATTAGAGACAGAAGTACCATTAAGAGGGGAAGAACTTCTTTAAACTGGATATATATTTTCTGTTTTACACAAACTGGTATTTTTTAAATGGAATACGTTGGATGATTTTTATCACAGTTGGTGCTTTGTGCCTTAAATTCTCATGAGTTTTCACTCCCAGAGTCCATGCCTTGAACTGAGCCAAGAGATCTAGTGCACTGTGGATGACTGCTTCCAGGTCTTTTGTGTTCAGAAGCAAATACAGTGGGGGGAGAAAGGGTGTTTCACACCTAAGTGCTGTTCACAAGCCTTTGGCCTGATTCCAGAACATAGCTGTGATTGCGTCAGAGGTGTGTTAGCCAGATGTCCTGCCACGTGTGTATTCGAGTTGCAGAAGGATGTAGAATAGCTTTCTTTAGCCTTTGTGTGGTTAGATCAATTAGCCAAGAGATGTGTGTACTGGCATATAAAAGAGTTAGTAGGATGCTGTTCTCCTTACAGTATCTCAAAGCTAAAGCTGTGATGCAGTTAATTCAGGGCGTATTCCTCCTATTCCAGCTCTCGTTGATGTTACTGTGAGGGCAGCCTCGTTGGTTTGGTCCTGTACTTTCAAGTCTCCCTTTTAGCCGCGGTGGTTGCCAGCTTCATTTCTTTCCCAGCGGCAGGATAGGGGTCATTCCAAGCACCTCAAAAGGGGCACAGTGATTTGGCTGTAGGGAGCAAGCTAATGGTTTACTAACTTCACTGAAACTGGAGATTTAGATCTGGAAACATGAGGAGAAAGTTAACTCAACCCTTCACGCTTCCCAGCTAATCAACCTAGAGCTTGTATAGAAAGAGTTCATTATTTGGAGCTCAGTTCAACTCCATGGCTCAGTGGCTTTTGCTTTTCTTATACTTCACACATTCTTTGCAGCTGATTTTAATGGTAGGCTGCATTAACAGACAATCTAAAAAAGAAAAAAAAAGGCTTTGGTATTTAGAGATTCTTTCAATGGATCATGAATGGTAAATGTCAAGGTCTGAAGAATAACAGAATCAAATACCTTAAAAATCTTATCTCAATAAATGGAATTTAATATAATAAATGTTTTCACTTAATATATTAGTCTAAATATTTTAATATATTAATTCACAGTAATTGTTGAATGCATTGCTTCCTCTGTAAGCAAAGTAGATACCGAAGTTCACCGAAACAATGACAACTAACCCTTGTGTTTCAGGGACTCTTGTGGAAAAGCAGATCAGGTGTTGAACGTTGTCTCCCTGCTGCTAGGCTCTGTGTTTCTAAGTGTTTTTTGGATGTCCGTGCCCCCTGTAGATGGGATGAGAACTGGTGAGCTGGGCTGTGTCCCCTGCTCTGCTCCATGGAAAGTCTCTTGTTCTGCTGGAGAAACACACAGGTTACCACACCTGTCCTAGCTCTGGGTGCTTGTGTTCAAGGTTTTGTGCTGTTTAGTCAATGTTTCTGAGTGCCTTTGATGCCTGAAGATTACAATACACAAATTTCTCAGTGTAGGAAACTCCCAGTGTGATTAATTTTATTTTCTTTAAATCCTGAAAGGTGCTTGTTCCAGGTAGAAAGCTAGGGCAGGGTCAGCATCTTTGAAACACACAGATTTATTTTCTACAGGTGAATTTTTAATTTGGCCTAGCAGGATATTCCTGTCCAGACAGCCAAGCTTGTGATTCTTTAAAAACAAACAAATCACATGAGCGTGGTGCGCAGTGCTTGGCGTACTGCATGGGCGCAGGCCTCTTGCATTTGTGGCTTTCCTTTCCTGCCTTGTCAAAGGAGACTGGCTTGCAGACTATGAGATGTTGTGGCCTTCAGAAAGAGGAGCTATAAAACTCACCAGAGGGATAATCGGTCCTTGTCATCTCTCCCCACATTGTTTTCCACTTCCCCCAGCTATCATATCTCAAACCCCATGCCTTGGTCCAGCCCACACACAATTTTTGTAACCAGTGTAGTCAGGGATGTGATTTCCCTTCCTACTTCTGCCTCTTACACTGAGTTTATAGCAGTAATGCCTGCTTTGTGGGAGTCACTGCAATAAAATTGTTCCTCTCCCTGTGCAGGGGGACTAGCTGCAGAAGCAGAGTACTCCTGTGTTGGAGTAGCTGCGTCTTTCACAGCGTGGCTGGACGGCTCTGAGTACACAGGTCTGATCAGAGCAGTTTGCTTTTCCATTTTGACATGGCCATGTTGCAGCGTCTCGATGGTTCTCATGAATGTCCCTGGAAGGGACAGGCTTGGGAGCATGGCTGTTCAGGTTCAAAACGTGCTGTCAGCGCTGTCCTGGGGTGTCAGGGCTGCTCACTGCATCTGGGTGTGCCCCTTCGGTGGGGTGCCAGAGCCCGGGGGTGCTGTGAGCTGCAGCAGCATCTCGGCTGTAGTTGAAATAGCCATTCAGATTTAAAAAATAAAAATAAAATATCTTTCATACTTCAGCAAGCCATGTTGTTGTTGCTGTCTTTTAACACCATGAATGTCAATAGTTCACTTTTGGTATATGATACATAATTATGAAGCGAAGGGGAATGACCTCAGTCTACATTGGATTTTATTTTAATTGAGATTATGAAGGGTGCCATTCTCTTTGTCATTCGGCAGTAAAAGATTTCACTGAAACCACGCACACTGTTTCAGTTTACACTGCGGACTCCGAACTGCTGCAGAACACCTCTGCCTTCAGGCACCACGATGCAGAGATCTTTCAAGCCACTGTTTTTGGGGCAGAGGCTTATTGTAAGAGTTGCGTCAAGCACTTCAGAAACACTGCACTTTTTTCCCCTCTTTCTTTCCTTCCCCTTTCCCTTTTCCTTGAGTTATTTACACCACACTAGACAGAAAGTTAAACTATGGGCAATACCTTAATACCCTTGGCAACGTTTATGCTTTCTGTAAGGATGGTTCTATCTTTTAAACAGAAATTGGTAAGCGAGGGGTTTTTCTTCAGGACATCTCTGCTGTCGGATGACACAGAAGCAGATCACCCTGGCAGGGTGGGCACTGCCTTTGACCGGGTAAATCTTGTGTCCTCACCTTTCTGAAGTAGTCTCCCTGTGTCTCTGCTGCAGGTGTGGCTGTGGAGGGACGCTGGGGCTCCGAGGGGCCGGCGAGGAGCAGCACCGTGCAGCACACTCGTGCCGTCCGACGGTAAGCATTCCCAGCAGGCTCTCTCCCTTCCTATCAATGTTAGCCAGCTGTTCATTTATTTTGTGGTGGTAGGGTCAGATGACATTAGTTGCATGTGTTCTTTACATATATATATCTCTATCTATATATATAAAAATATATTTTAAAATGTCCCAGAAGTAGAAGTACTATATTCATGAAAGAAATCTAGAATGTATTGCGTGGTTTTCTTTATTTTAAACTACAACTTACGACTTTCTCACTTTCCCTCCCCAGAAGTAACTATTAATTACAGACATGGTCTTCCTGTGATAACTCTTACGCTGCCTACAAGAAGTGAACGCTGTCGGTTCACTGTCAAGCCAATGGTGAGCTCCTGCAGGATGTGCAGAGAGAAGATAAAGGTATTGAGAGGGCGGAAGTCTTTGCAACAGGTATCTTACATTTCTGTCACTCCTTAAAATGAATATATTCCTTTTCAAATGGACTGTACTTCTGTCCTGAAGCATGAGTTCAGATCTCCATCAGGTTTAGCATTGCTGCTGTTGGGGCAGCTCTTGAATGCTTCGGGGGTTATTGGTGTTTCAGATTTAATATCTGAGTTCTCTTGGAACAGCTGATTAAAAATGCAGAATTGGACATATTACTATAACATTCCTTATATTTCAGTAGTGTCCTCTATTAACCTTTTAAGGTTGTTTCTTTTTGTAATGCTGTCTTTAAATAAGTGTCTCTCTTCCAGTTTCCTTGATAGCTTTTTCTTTCCATGTCCTCCATGATCATTCTTATAGTCAACCAGTCAGGCTCTTGAATGTGATGTCTGCCAGTTGTTCAGTGTAACTCAGAGCTGGAAGAATCTGTTTGCCTTACTACAAACTTGAACTCGTATGGAAAACTTGCTAAGAGCTAAGCAACCAGATAATGTGTGCAATGATAAAGGGCAGCTTTTTGAGGCTTTGGGGCGTTTTCATTCATCAGCTGGAGTACAGTACTTTGGGGCCCTTGGGTTGAAAGGAGAAAGCTATACTGATATTAGCATTGATGTGGACTTTCCTCCTTGTAGCAAACTGTTTATTCCATTGTCCCAAGTCTTCAGATTATTTTCTCAAGCTCTGCTCACGGTTTTCGTGTGTTTTGTCTCTTTGGTCTGCTGTTGATAAAAGCTAACATCCAGTTACGTAAACTGGTTTTCCATTTTATTTCCAAGACAACTTGGTTTGTATTTTGGCAGTGCTTTTTAGTTTTTCTACAGCAATTCTGAAAAGTCTTGCAACCCCTGTCCTGGTCCTAGAGAAGGACTCAGTCTTAAAAGTAGAACCGAGATGTAGCGTCCTTGTCTGAATCTGATAGAATAGGTACTTGAGTTTGGCTAACTAAAAGCATCTATTTCTTCCCTTCCCCTCTCACTCCCGTAAAAAGAAAGAAAGAAGAGGAAAAAAAAGGCTAGCTACATCCCTATAGATTGCTTTTCCATCAGGTAACACATAAATAGAAGAAAGGATGGGGTCAAGAAAAGTTGGCTCGAAGTTTCATAGCTGGGTGCATTCATAACACTCCCTTTATTCCTGGTTGATGCTGCAGGGACTTTTAAAGGAACTGAAAATAGGTCGATGCTCCTAGGAGATCCAGAAGCCACAGATCTAGGAGGAGCTTCTTTAGTTGCCTTTGAGAGCACATTTAGTAAAACACAAAAATACCCCAGAGAGCAATATGTTTATATCCTCTAGAGCAATGGAGATGTGATCTGTGTGGATCGCAGTGTGTGCATGAGCTTCATGTACACAGGAACTTTGAGGTTGGTTTTTTTCTTTATGCTGTATTTGCTAGGCAGCAAAAGTAAAAAATTCTCTTGAAAAAGATCATTTCTTAAGAGACTGTTCTATCTTCAGAAGCCACTGTAACAAACGGTCATTGTCAGCAGCTGGCCTTGCCCTTAACATGGAAGTTTTCACTAAAAAGGATCTCGTACTGGGGTGAGGCAGGGCTGGCCAAGAACAAGCGCCAGCAAACATTTAACCTCTGAGTACTGCTGTCCTGTGGGGACATCCATGGCCGAAGTATTTGTGATTCACTGCTGAATCCCATTTTTCTGTGATATGTCAGCAAAAGCTAACCACTCATTCTGCTTCAGTGCAAACATCGGTCACTTGTGCAGCATAAGATAATTTCTGTAAGAAACCTACAAGTCTGGCATTTTTGGTGTGAGTGGGCCGCTTTCACCTCATCTCATCAGTTTATGCCCCCCCCCCCTTTGGAATAGAAACATTGTCCACTTGGATTAAAACAATGTCGAACAGTTCTCTGGTCTGTATTTTTCAAGTGCTGGGGAATTGTAATGTTAGAGAACAGCTTACATGTTTAGTTTATTAGGAAACTGATACTGTAGAGAGAAACTATTGGTCAAGTATGAGAGTTGAATTTAAACATTTATTATTAAAGAAAAATTACTAAGCCTTGATTTAGTGCAGACACTAGGTGTCATTTAGCCATTAAATGAAACCCAGCCTTAACTGAAAGTATTAGTGCTGTGTATAATGACTTTCATTTTCTGTGGATTCAATTTTAGCCCTACAAAACTTCTGTAGACAAAAAATGGCCCTTCGTCCACATTTGAACACTTGTGCTTAGGTATAGGAAGGAAAGCAGCCTTTTGCTGAAAGCCTGCGGGGAATTTTCTAAAACAAAACACCTCCCTTCCCCCAAAAACCTTCCTGTTTTTCAGTTAATAAAAAGTTGGACAGGTTAATAAATCGGTGGTGTGCCACATCCAGAACAAAGAGCCTGTCTGGCAGTTCTTTTTAAAAGCATTTTTTGCTTAAATGTCACTTTATAAATGTCACCTTAATAATTTATATGCAAATGAGGTTTGATGTTCTATTACACTGTAAAAAAAGAAGAAATGAGAGGATGGGCACATTAAAATTTCAGATTTTGGCTTGAAAGTGATAGCTTTCCAGGTTTGCTTTGCTGCCCACCCGGCGTGGGTCGGGGAGCCATGGGGTGCGTTGGCTGGCAGAGCGCAGTACTCTCAGGCTCAGCAGATGGGGCGAGGACAGAGCTCCAGTGAATCGATGGTGGCAGGTGTGGGGCTGTCTGCCATGCCTGTCTGTCGTGGGCACGTGGGGACAGGTGGAGGAGCTGGGGCAGCAGCACTGTGACAAATACTTACACACAAAAATCGTCATATTTGGTAGCCTGATCATTATTCATGGTGGGAGTGAAGCTGCTGTTCTCCACCACTGCTCACCCCGTGGCAGGGGCAGGGGAAGACACCCTTTTTAGGTGTAGGAAATGAAGACCAGGTCAAACAGCTACCATGGAGCAGCTGCTCTGTGGCTTTTGAACCCCCCCATGCCACAGCAGCGTGCCTGGCTCTGGGGGCTCTTGGGCCATCTGAACCCCCTGGGGGGGCTGGTTTTACTGGGTGGCTCTGGGATCTGCCGGACTTGAGCTGGTGAGAGCTCCAAGGGATCCACTGGTGCATGTTTCTGCTGATGTTCCTTCTCAGTGTCTTCAGCTCCCTGTGGGGTGTGATGTGTTCCTTTGCCTCCTAGCCGCAGTGAGGTGTGGTGCACGGTGAAATGAAGAGGAGATGTTAAAGCTGATAGGCAGGAACAGTAGTAATATACCAAAGAGGAGAGGTTATTTACAAACTTCAGGCCCATTTAAACAGGGGAAACAAAAAGCAGAGATGGGACAAAACAGATCTTTTACATTCCAGCAGAGGTTTGAGATTACATCTGCTCTCGTGTGTATTGAATGTAAAATAGGAAGATATTATATTATCTCCACTCTCATTTGGATGCAGCTATTTTTCCTGTTATTGTGAAATCAGGAATGTTGCCAGAGTACTAATCTTGCAAGACCTGCTGTATTGAGAATGCCCTGGGAAGCGCTGCGGTGCATCCGTGCCACTGGATGACAGCCTTTTCATATATTGAAGCTGCAGTCTGTCTGCCAGTGGCAAATCTCTTCTAAGCCCTTGGCAAACACAAGTGCAGCCTTTTGGGTGAAAGGGCCTTTGGCAAAGAAAAATGGTAGAGAGGGAATGAAAAGAAGGAACAAATACAAAAGCAGGATAAAATCTTCAGCAACCAGCTGATTGAATGTCACAGTTGCCCCCTTGTCTCTGATTTTAAGTCACTGAGAATAGATATGATTTTTTTTTTTCTCAGCCTGTTCCCTGTGTTGCTGATGGGGGTAGCATTCCTGTAAATTTCTGCACAAAAAAGAAACACAGAAAAGGGTTCTCCAGAGTTTTTTAGAGTAATGCCTCTCTGGCTCCTGGTCCCTTTTACTAGACAGTCTAGCTCTCCAGTTCTGAACTCCCAGTCACAACTGGTAGTGGAACACGGTGATTTCAAGCACCGTTAACTAAAATCTGAACACCACTAGTGACTTGCTCCTTTTGACTAGAAGAGCCTGTTTAAGGAAAGACATAAATCTATAACTGAAGATGAGGTCTCTGAAGGTCTTTTAATTTCCACAAACCCTTTGTCCTAATAAAGATGCGAACTTGCATGTGGATGGAGAAACAAAAATGCAGATCTCTATGTTGCCATTTGTTGCTGTTTTATGCAAGACTTGTTCTTCTTCTGCCCTCCCCTTCCCAATGGGTCGATTGTAGTCATAATCACAACACAAGAAAATACAAGGCTGCTCATAGTAGTGACAAGTCTGAATGACACTGCTAAAGAAGGCATTCAGGCACACACTCCATGTTGATGTGCTCCTCCTTACTGTTCAGCATCAGTTACCAGAATTACTAAAAGTACAGTTCCCTTCCAAACATTATTAATAAAGAACTCTAGCACTTTTCCAAAGGGATGTCAGCTACTGTTTTAAGATTTCTTGTAATAGATGATTTAGAACGTAAATCTTTCTTCTGCAGATGGTGGCAAGGTCTCTGATGCAACCTTGATGGAGATCTTACTGATGAATGACTTTAAACTTGTTATCAACAACACAGCATACAGTGTGTCACCTCCTGTAAAAGGTAAGAGCAATGCTTAATGACTCTGATTATCTCACTTCCTCTAGTGAAAGGCATGGGAAGTCTCAGAAAAACAGAACCTGTCTGGAGAAAGGAATTTCTCTGTTTTTTTTACCATTGGATGGTCCTGCTTTCTGGCGTTAGAGGTGGGGAGAGAATGAAGAAGGGTGGGTTCTTGAAATGTTTTATATGACAAACATTTTCTTTTCAGATAAGCTGAGTAGTGAGCATGCTACTGAAATGGAAGATATCAAAACCTTGGTTCACAGACTGTTCGTGGCTCTGCATTTAGAAGGTCACCAGATAAGGAGAGAGAGAGAATTGCTACAGAAACTGGACCATCTGAAAGAAGAGCTGCTGCCTCTTGAACAGGTTGGAAAGTGGGGTTACTTTTTTTGAAAACTCAAAAGCATTTTGTTTCATCAAGAGTAAACCCTGTGACAGAAGAAAATCAAGCGTGAATCGCTAAGGTGTGTCTGTTTTGTTTGTTATGTAAATGAGGGTCAATTCAAATACAATTCAAATTATTTTCAATACAGTTGTTTTCCCTCCTGTTATGCACATTCCCTGGGTAGAAACCACACCACCTGGAGAAAGCTGTCATGAACAAGCCTCAGCATGGCCAGTATTGGTATTGAAAGGCCACTTAGTCACCTGTTGCTGTATGAGTTCTGTGAGGTAGAAATCATCTGTGGCTTAGGCTAAGATTTTCTGCATCCCCAAGGCAGCAAGGCACATTGTTTGGATTAATGGTTGCCAGAATCCAGGAAGAGAAGGTGTGAATGTTGATCTAGGACAGGCTAAGCTAACCCAGCATGAGGAGAGGAAGCCAGAAAAAGCCTGACAAAGTGGACACTTTTCCTTGGCTTCAGACCTGCTTTGTGATGACCAGCCTCAGCGTTAACCAGAGCTGCCTTGCATGGTAAATGGAAATCCAATAGACATAAATCCATAGTAGTGGGGAGGGGCAATTAAAAGTAGGACTTCTTGGTGCACAACACCCAGGAGATCTGGTTGCCCGTGGATTTCAGTTCTCTTCTTTTTCAGTGGGGTAAGTCGGTAAGAGGAGTCAGTAAAAGATCCTGAAAAAGCATCTAGCCCAGCAGCAGAAAGCATAGCTGAGGAGCTGCTCATCAGAGGAGTGCTCACGTTTGCTTGAACAGGTTTCTGTATTTCTCTTCCGTAGATGAAAGCCAGAATCAAGGACAGTGCAGACGCAATGACCTCCAGGCTTCTGTGGGTCGGCTTAGCTCTGATGTCAACACAAGGGGGAGCGTTGGCGTGGCTCACGTGGTGGGTCTATTCCTGGGACATCATGGAGCCGGTCACATACTTCATCACTTACGGGAGTGCCATGGCTTTCTACGCCTACTTTGTTCTTACTAAACAGGTAAGTCCTTGTTTTGTAAACGTTTGGAGTATTGGAAAGGAGGAAAACTGACTCTTAAATTAAATCACAGTGTGTGGGCTCTGATGAAAGCACAATTCAGTAAGTAGCCTTGCCATCACACAGGGACTTGTTTGATCCCTAATGGGGCTGGATACAAATGTTACATTACGTGACCAGCTGCTGAGCATAACTACTATCTGTAAGATTTCATAACCTAGCGAATGAAAAGTGATGAAAGAAGTCTCTCCTTTTATTTTAAATTTTTGTAGACCACTTTGAATAGTAAACGGCATCTTGCTCACTGCTGTAAAGGGAGAGCAACTAGTGCTGTGCCAGTTTGTGAACGCTGCCTTACGGAAGCAAATCACTGAACAGCAGCTTTAATTTACTGGAGTTTGTGTATAAATGGTGCAGGATACCAAACTGCCTGGAACTCTGGCAGTTGCATTATTGACATACACCTAATTTAGTGCCTGAAAAAGTGTTACTGTTTTGTTCTTCATTATCCGATTGCTTTTCCATGACTTTGAATGAATGGAGGTAAATCTAGGACAGCTGAATGGAGCAGGAAACAGGCATTGTTTAGAAGAAAATAAGTTTGCTGAGTAACAAAAACACAGATCTTAACTGAGCTGCACAATACAGACTTGTCCTGAAATCCTGTAAGACTTCGAGAAATGTTTCTTTTTCCTGTTTTAGCTCTGTACTTTACTCTCAAAGTGGGCATCCTGATGTTGAACTTTCTGTGATGCAAGATTCTTTTTGTTTGTTATGGAGGTATGTGGAAGAGTAACCAACACTTCCTTCCACGATACCAATGGATCTATAGACCTTGTGGGACATCATGTTCCTTTAGTGAAAAGGGGAGACATGTCTGTTTTTATGAATTTGGCTTTTTTGAACAGCTGCTGGCACCATTGCTTGAGACTTTCAAATAAGTCTTTGAGAAAAAGTAGCTGAACTTTGACTCCTTGGAAGTAGTGTCCATTGACTCAGGTGGCTCCAGTCATAAAGGCCACACTTTGTCTTTATTATAATTGAAAATTCCTTTAGATGCAATAGAAATGATTCCTACCATGTTTCTAAAAGGTCCTTATGACCTATAAGGGCATAACTTCATATGTAGCCTCTTAAAAGAACATATGTGTATGTTGAACTAGATACATCTTCCTGCAACAGGCTGACTTGCTGTTGAAAACTCATTTGTACAGATAACCTTCTGACCTCTACCCAGTTTTCTTGCTAACCCCAAATATGTGCTCTGCTTTCTTTGCCAGGACTACATTTACCCTGATGCTAAAGACAGGCAGTTCCTCCACTACTTCTATCGGAAATCCAAAAACCAGCATTTTAATGTGGAACAATATAACAAGCTCAAAGAAGACCTAGCAGAGGTATTTAAATACAGTCCTTAAATAATGAGGTAGCCTCTGGGTTAAGACTTTCTCAGTAAACTCTCAGCTAACAGCAACTGACCTCAAGGTTTACTTACATTCAGAACAGTGTATTGCTTATCAGCCAGGTTCAGCTGTTCAAATAACCACACCATGTTTGCCATTGGCCTGTTAAGTCATCAGAAAGGGACACCTTCATGAATTTAATTTAAAGCAAGTCAGTTTATCAGCCCTACAGATCAGTTTTCTGCATACTCTAATACGTTGCATTTTGGGCCATTTTAATAGAATAGCTGCATTGCTTTTGGAGACGGTGTGTTTGCTGCAGTGCTGTGGTGACAATCTCCTCCCTTCCTTGGAAGGAGACTGTCTTGCAGAGTTCAGCATTTGACATCTTAATCCTATTCCTTCAGTAAAAGGCTTAGATTTACAGAATATGGGCGACTGGATGGAAAAGGTGGTGTGTGCACCTAGGAGAAACTTTGTGGTCTTCATGAAAAAGTGTAGCAGATCTCTCACTCCTCAGTTCTGACTCCCCCATCCCATCTCACTGGCCCTGTGTTCAAAGTCTCGTGAAAGAAAATTGAAACTACCCCCAGCTTTAGTTCAAGACCAGTGGTTCAGGGTGTCACGTCATGAGCCACATTTGACATAAGGCTAGAGTTTGATGCTTTTTCAGTAGCCTGTGAGTATGAATTTTGTAATTGTAATTTCAGGAAAATAATACTTAGGGGTGTGGGTGATTGGGTGGACAGGCAGGGCACGGGCTTCTCTCTGGAGACTGGCTGAATGACCTGAGCAGGTCTGTAAACGTTCAGCGTCCTCCCTTTGATTAGTTTGGCTTGTTGCACAAGACCAATGCCTTCTGAGAAGAGAAAGATACTGGATGTGTGAAAGAGCACGAGAGAAGGGAGGGCTGCAGAAGGATGAACTCTCACTCTCTCTTGCACTGGCAGGCAGAAGAATCCCTGAGGCATCTGCGCCAACCTCTGCACCTGAGGCTTCCAATCCAGGAAATCAGTGACAAGGACTGACTTTGATTTTGTATATATTAGAATTGCCCTTTCGAAGCCGATACAAACATTTAGTTACTCAACAGAAACTGGATATTTTTGACCACTATAGTTTTGAAAGTTGCAATAAGTATAAAAATGATTTGCTCACTTGATGGCTTGGGGCTGGTTTTTTTTTTTTAAACCTATGAACAAGCTGCTGAAGCAAAGTTCTTGAAGATATTTGTCAAATCTCACGAGTAAAATGGAGGCATTCTGCCTGCTGGTAAAATGACAGGGATGTTTTATAGAACAAGGGCTGTCTTTTGAGTACCATTTACTATAGCACAGCAGTACCTAATGGAATAATTAACTTCTGCATTGAGTATTTTTTCCCCAAAATTACTGTTTTCTTTTGCCTGGCTTTGTGCATTGACTCTGTTGGTGTAACACCATTAGTGGCAGTTAGACTTACATCACAAGTAAGCTTTTTTAGTAAATATTGCTGGAAAAGAAAGATATATCAAACTTATTTACTATAAAATCATTTATGTTTCACTGTTGCATTTTATTGAAAAAAAATATCAAAACATTCAAACATACATGATTTATACAAATCTTAAAAGTAACCATAGTAAGATATAACATCTATGACTCAGAACATAATATATGGAAAGATTTAACAAAAGCAGAGCCAGGAAATCAATTATTTTATACCCAGTAAAGTGGATTAAGACACTTTTCTCAGCTTCAGTTCTCCATTGTCCCCCAGAGTTAAGCGTATGTATGGATAACGTAAAAAATAATGAAAGAAATATTCGCTTATAGTCAGTATCATTGAAATTACTGATGCTGCAGTAGTAACGATCCTATGGTGAAACATCCTATGGTGACAAATCACAGACTTAAGAGTGGCAGGGGTTGGAAGGGACCTCTGGAGATCATCCATTTAGTCCAACCCCCCTGCCAAAGCAGTGTCACCTACAGCAGGTTGCACAGGACCGCGACCAGGCGGGTTTTGAGTATCTCCAGAGGAGGAGACTCCACAACCCCTCTGGGCAGCCTGTTCCACGCAGGAACGTTATGTACGCAGTGACAAAGCATGGCTGATCTCCTCTGGGGCCAAGGGGAAGAAGAGGCTGATCCAACACCAAGGCCTGAGGTATGACGGTTTGCATACGTTGTATTTTGCAGAGCTGCCTAGAGATGTCCAGCAGTTGTAAGTAAGCCTGGAACCTTGAAATTATTTGCTTTAGCTTTAGAGATGTGTACAAGGCGAGCTTACCCAAAGTCATGCTAAGCAAGCTGTATGTGGTCTCATTTCACTACTGCTTGCTTTTCTTCTGAGGATGCAAAGCACCAGCAAACTTTAATTGTGCCCCAAACATAAATGATGTGCAAGCAAAAAGAAGCCCTTTATCTATACTAATGCTACAATTGTACTCAAGGAATTAAGTTCCTTTTTAGTGTTGAGAGAAGATAAAAAAAGTCTAAAAGGCTCAATAAATCTGCAAAAATTGGAAGGTGGATACTGCTCTCCACGGATTCAAAAAGATGCCCTACAAACATATTCCCTGTAAACTGTGCTCTTGGAGCAAGACAAGCTGATCTAATGCAACATTTTGGACACAGTAAAATGTGCCATAGATGACAATCAAGCAAAAAACTTGCAAGAAAAAAAAAGTAATCTAGAATACAAATTTCAATAAAATCTGAGCTCCTCTTAACAGTTTTACACCAGTCAACTTTTCCTAAATTCCCTGAGATGAACAGAGCTGTAATACTAGCTTTAAAATTGCTTTAAGATTTTAGAAACTATCGTGTATACAGACTATAACATTTGATCCCAGTGATTTTGCAGACAATCTTGTAGAATATTCATCTCCTGAACTAAGATTCTGTGTTTTTCAATTCTGCAGTGCGTATTAGTTAATGGTTCTCATTGTTAAGTAACAATCTACTTAGATTTTGGATGAAAATACAATTTTTTAGTTAGCATTGAGGCAAAACAAGGAATCTGCTTCTTTCCTATAGCATTAATGTCTCTGCACATATCTACTTTGCGATGAGATACTTTCCTGTTAACGACAGTAAGAAGTTCTGTGAACTCCAAGGAAGAGCCGTGCTTCCTAAGTGCCTCACACAAATCTTGAATGTACCAGGAGCCATTTACAGTTTCACGATGAGAAAAGTAACCTATTGTAGAACAGGAAAGTAAAATTATATCCAAATGTAAGTAGTGATGCCTCTTGAAAAATACTCATGAGAGTTACTGCTCGCTAGCTGCCTCTGTAAGGGATCACTAATGGCTGTTAATCTTACTTTGCCAGTTACGCAGTTTCTCTGTAAACTGTAGATGGGAAATGGCTTTGAGATCACCTATAGTGCTCAGCCACGAGGAGCACGATTCAGGGACTGGTAGCTTACAGGATCATATCTGCACATTACAAGAGAGCAGATGGGACTTAGGACGAGACACACGGAGGACTGGAGACGACAGCCACATGGTGCCAGGAAATTTGTAAGCCACCAGAATCCTACAATCCTGGAAGAACGGGGAACGCGTGCTGTCAGCCGACAGCTCTGCAGCAAGATTATGATGGGAGTGTTTCTGCTTGGCAGATTAAGTGCAGCCTTGATGGTTTATTTTCACTTTTTCCTTAGCATGCAAAGCAGATGACCTGCACTGCAAAATGAGGAACTGTTCAAGCTTGTTACAGTGAAGTATCAGACATCATATATCAAATATTAGAACTTACCTTGTGCCACAGAGTAGCACATGATAAAGTCTGCACCAGCAGGCAGGGTATAGACACCAGCTGCATCCACTTCAGTCTCATTGACAGCGGGTCGATCGGTGCCATCTATTGAATCCTGAGCAATAACTGGATCGTCATGTTTATCACCTCGACATGCCTGTTGGTGAGAAGTATTGTTATGCTTTCATCTGTCCAAGCTCACCTGTGTTAATGTAATACTTCTGACACTAACCAGAGGGGACTTCTGTTCAGTTAGGTGTTCCACATTACCTAATGTGGATGAGAGTACATATGAGTCTGGATTCGTAAAGACCTGTTTACTTCTGTCAATTAACATATTGGTGACAAAGTCTGGTGAAAGCTCTCAGATGATCACAGAATTCCTGAGACTGGAAGGGACCTCTTGAGATCACCAAGTCCAAGCCCCCTGGCTCAAGCAGGGTTAGCTAGAGCAGACTGTCCAGGACTACATCCAGCCAGCTTTCGAGTATCTTCATAGATGGAGACTCCACAACCTCTCTGGGTCATCTCTTCCAGTGTTTGACCACTCTCACAGTAAAAAAGTGTTTCCCTGTGTTGAGATGGAATTTCATGTGTTTTAATTTGTGCCAGTTGCCTCTTGTACTGTCACTGGGCACCACTGAAAAGAGCCTGGCTCGCTCTTCTTCATTCCCTCCCACCAGGTGTTTATAACATTGGTGAGATTCCCCTGAGCCTTCTCCTCCAAGCTGAACAGTCCGAGCTCTCTCAGCCTCTCCTCATATGAGAGATGCTCCGGTCCCTTAATCATCGTTGTGGCCCTTTGTGGGACTCACTCCAGTAAGTCTGTATCTTTCTGGTACTGGGGAACCCAGAACTGGAAACAGTACTTCAGAAGATGCAGCCTCAGCAGTGCTGAGTAGAGAGGAAGAATCGCCTCCCGCGGACCTGTTGGCAAGGCAGTGCTGAATAAATGCTCTGAAGCAGAACCATCGTTGTATGCTGTTACACTTCTGCTCTTAGTTCAGTCTTAAATGTGTTAGTCAAGGGAGGGGTTTTTTTTTGTGAGAAGCCAGTAAGCAAGGCCAGTATTGTCAACGTTGCAGAAAGGCTATACATGGAAGAAGGTAAGAACACACTCAAAAGATGCAAAGTAGGTAAGGAGCATCACTAAAGAGAGAAACGTGAAAATCTTTTTTCATTTGCGGTGATGAAGTTCTGTCCTTGCTGTTTCCTCTGATTTCCAAAGGTAAATGCTATGCCCCTTGTACTGCAAAGGAGCTCAGCTGATGAACTGAACTAAGTTAATTTGCTTTTGATGAGTATATATTGTAAATGTTTCCAAGTATTACTTAAAACTGAAATATATAAATATTTTTCCATCTTTGGCACCTGGTTAAAAAAAAAATCAAAGCTGAGTAAGTCCTAGTGAAAGATGAATTAACAACGTGCTGATTTTTGTAGCAGCCTTGTGCTTAAGGACGCTTTTATTTGAAAAAAGGTAATTCTTAGGATTACTCTATAAACTACTACAATTGCAATCTGCTGAAGGCCAGGTTCTCATTTGAGTTTGCTAATTGTAATCTGGCTAAAGAGTGGGATAACGCCCTGTGTAACCTGGCTTTACCCCGTAACTGACTCTGCTTTGAACAGGAGGCTGGACTAGAGGCCTCCTGAGGTCCCTTCCAACTTGGATTATTCTGTGAACCAAGGAGTGAAACAGGAGATTGCACAGGGGCTTTATTTGACCACTTAGCACAAGCAGTATTTCTGAGACAGTAAAGCCTTAAATTGACTCTTTAAATTCTACAGAGACCAAGTATTGGTCATGGACAAATAAGAAGAATAAAAAAAAAAGAAAAACAAAAAAACCATTACCACCACCACCACCAGAACCAACCAAACAAAAAACCCACAAAAAACCCCCAGAAAAAAACAACTGCGTAAGGATCAAATAAAGGGACTTGCCTGGAAGGAAACAGTGAAGTTGAGGTCTGATAGCCTTCTACAGCCCAGCCTAGGGCTGTGAAGTGATCAGCAGCAAATGAGCTGAGGCCGGACATGACTGTCTCAGAAAAATGATAGTCTTCTCTGCCATTAAATATATGCTGACAGTCAATCCAACATGGGCTTAATTTGGGTTGCTCTTCCTAAGATTACTTCTTACTGAATACAGCTAGAATAATAGTATTAACACTTGTGTACATAAAAGTTTTTGACAAAAGAGAAGAATCCTTGTCTTAAATGCCTTTAAAGCAGTTTTCTGTACCTTCTTTCTTAAAGATGCACAAACTTTCCCTCGTGGACAGACTGTATCAGGAAAACTGACTTCTGTATTGCAAGAAGACCGAAATCAGTGTTAACACCACTGAATTCAGAAACAGACACCTTACCTGAATGATAAATATCTTCGGTTTTCCTACCAGACT